GTTCATCGTCGTGGTTCGAAAGGACTGGAAAGAACCTGGAGGGTTGCTGTTCGTGTTCGCAGATGATGAGAATGATTACAAGCTGGACAAGTTCTTTTTCAAGGTCGATGATGCGTACATGATGCTTTCGAGTCTGAGCTTCCAGGATGAGACTGAGGCTGGGAGTAAAGAGGTATACGCCCAAGGGTACTACGATGACGCAGAGTGGAGGAGCTACCCAGCACTCCCGCAACCTGAACGACGATGAGACACTCACGGATGAGAGGCATCGCAAGTATTGTGTACGAAGGAGGCGTACGGCCATAAGGCCCAGAGTGAATGGAAGGCTAAGCTGATCCCTGCTCTGTATCGTATTTGGTCCGCTGTTAGACCAGCAGCTGGTGGTGTAGCTATTGCCTCGAGAGTTTGCGCATGCTCGGTTTAGATGTACAAAGCTTATAGGCAGTTTCAGTAGTAGAAGCGTTGCCGCCGCGGGCGCTAAGACGCGCCACGAACTGGGCTTGCCGGAGAATGTACTTTTCCTGCGTCGACAACGCTCACGAAATTGTCAGGCTCTTTGTAGGGTACCACCCAGTCACACCATCGCTGTTCGGTGTCCGTCGACAGTGGGTGGAGATGATGATGCCTTTGTTTCCAAGGTCGCGCCTGGGTGGACAGCACCTGCCCAAAGCTGGCGCGTTGCCGAGGCCCGGCCAATCCATCCAGGCACCTCTATGAACGAGCACTATTCCACCTGGGCAACAATCAACATCACTAAGTGTTCCGTGAACGTACTCCACACAAAGACAGCCAGATATTTTTGCTTCTGTGTTAATACAATTTCTGTGTTACCACCTTGAGGATAGGCTGCGTGACGGAAGGTATGCCGACAGCTTGTGAACTCGACGAGCTGCAGCTGATATGCAATCGCTATATTGAAAGACCTATTCTTACCTTTTGCACAGCCTACTGACTCAAGCAGAGTAGTTTGGTGAAGTTTTGACGAATTTACAACTTATGCTTAGTCGGAATAGTGATGTTGCTATACATAGGTCTCCATGCAGCGGCCCCGGGGGGCTCTGCTGGTCGCTCCTCTGGTGAGCCCCACTAGAGCTTCATGCAGTTGCGGATAGCTCCATTGGCGTCGATAGCCAACACAAGCGCCGGCACCCGTGTTGAGATGGCACCGTTCCGAAGATGGGTTGATGCGGCGGTTCTTGAAACAGAGGATGGTGATAGTGCTAAGATGAGCAGAGTCGGAGGTACAATGACAAGATTGCTGCGTGGGCAGGATGACTGCCGGGTCGCGTGAACGGCATCTTCGGTACAAACCACGATGCACCAGGCACGAAGATGTTGGTGCCGGTCGTATGAGTCTCTAGCTCCGATCGCATGTTGCTTGTAGTTCTTGAGCCAGTGGCAGAGTCTAACGTCAGCCAAGCTGCACCACCAAACGGCGTTGACATGTTCAATTGGGTGGAGGGGTAGACCCTTAGGGCTTTCTCTCGCGTGCGCACAAGGATGGAGTCGAAGGAGTATTCGAGCCTGCATACCATCCTCGTCATCAAAATAAGCCCTAGGAGAGTTGTTGTTACCTCGAGAAACTATCGATTCCAAGGGATCCCGCTGCGGTTGGAGCTGTACTCGCATGTGGGCCAACGTCAGTCGAGCAGTCACCGGCGGCAATGTAGACGCAGACACCAACCAGCGCATAGACTAGGCCGCCCGAGTAGGGACCCTTCACATTGGGAGTAGAAGATGAAACATAGCTTGGAGCCAGTGATAAAGAGAGCAACCTCAGCGCTTGCGGAAACACTCAACAACCCGCCTCGCATCCTGTCTCGTGGCATCTTCCCGACCTCAAGGTACGGGCATGGGATCATCGTCCACGCCGCAACACTCTGGCCGCACTCCTTGCACACACGCTGTTGCCGACCTTTGATCGAATTCGCTCCACGCGTCATTGGCTGCACGTCGGTAATTCCTTATTATTAGTCCACGCGTCAAATGAAGGTTGGAGGTGTCGAGGCTGTTTGGAACCGCTGGACAGCGGCCTAGTCCCCTTGTCGGCAAGCCTTGCGCGCACGCGCCTAGCCGCTCTCCACCACCGTCCTGAGCCCCTCCAGCACGCTGAGGTCTTGAAACCTAAAGACCCGCTGCCTTTGTCACTCTGGCCGCCCCTCGTCCGCCTGATCTTGGAAGAGCTATCTGTTAGCCCCCCGGAACCCGCCCCCTAACGGAGCCCTCCCCACACCACCGAGTCGCGCCTGCCGCCTGTCAAGCCGCACCTGCCTGTGACTCGTGGCCCAACGTCACTCGTGCCTAAACCCGAGCGGCCTCACACTCCACCGCACCTCACCTCCTCGTATTCCTCCCCCTGAGACGTCGACCGCGCGAAAGGCCGCCTCTTTGATCCGGCTTACGGCAGCGACCCACTCTGTTGGGACCGAAGACGATTGACGTGCCACCTCAACACCACTCACTTCCCCTCGTTATCTCCGGGGCCAGCATCGGTTCAAACTCTGCGGGAGGAGCCAACGTAGATGCAGTCGTTCAACAACGGGCCTTCGCCTCACCCACAGCCCAACATGTCGTCCCCCGCGCCTCTGCTGCGACCACCCATTCCCGGCGCGCGCCCTGGGAGGAGAGGACCGCCACAGCTTGGTCTATCCATACCACCATCGCCGAACGCACGACCTGTCACCAACGGCGCAGGCGACGGCATACCGACCCTGAACGCGCCTCAGCCCCGTCATGGGCCGAAGCTAAGCGTAGTTACTCCCATGGGTTCCAGCAATGCACCACAGGAAGGACGAAACGCACGAGCTCCCCCGCCGCTTATAATGCCAGGGCAAGGACTATCAGCATCAGGTTCGAGCGACGCGAGCGCACACTCCAGATCGGGTAGCTTTGGCGAAGTGCAAGCAAATGGTTCTGCTTCATCATACCATGCGGCACTGGGATTCATGGGGGTTCAAAAGGCCACAGATCCCATTTCGGCTATATCACAAGGCGGAAGTGAGGGCGCGCCTTCCATGGAGCGTGCAAACAGCAGTCAGCCTCTACCAGATCTAGATGCTATGGCTCTAGAGAAGGGTCGGCCATTGGAAGTGGACGACCTAGATGACGCAGCCTGGAGAGCGGCGAGCGCACGAGGCATGATTGAAGAGAAGGGTAGTCTAGGAGAAGGCGCAGGTGGTGCTGTCACAAAATGCATATTAAAGGGCGGAAAGACTACGTTCGCGCTGAAGGTGTGCATGGTCCCATACAGTGTGCTACGACTCAACTAATTCGCATTCCAGATCATCACAACGAACCCCGATCCCGATGTCAAGAAGCAAATCGTACGAGAACTGTCCTTCAACAAGAACTGCGCCAGTGACCACATCTGCCGTTACTACGGTGCTTTCATGGACGACAGCACAGGGACTATCAGTATTGCCATGGAGTTCTGCGAAGGCGGATCGCTCGATGCAGTATACCGCGAGGTCAAAAAGCTTGGAGGCCGAACAGGCGAGAAGGTCCTTGGCAAGGTCGCCGAGGGCGTGCTGAATGGACTGACCTACCTCCACTCTCATCGCATCATACACCGGGACATCAAGCCGAGCAACATCCTATTATGCCGGAATGGTCAGGTCAAGCTCTGCGATTTTGGTGTCTCCGGAGAATTCGGAACCAAGGGAGACGCCAACACTTTCATCGGAACCTCATACTACATGGCACCAGAGCGCATCACCGGGCAAAGCTACACAATCACCAGTGATGTGTGGAGTCTAGGTGTTACTCTACTCGAAGTCGCACAGCATCGCTTTCCGTTCCCTGCCGATGGAACCGAGATGAACCCCCGCGCCGGGCTTATTGATTTACTCACCTACATCGTTCGGCAACCCATTCCCAAGCTCAAGGATGAGCCCGAGAATGGCATCAAGTGGTCAGAGAACTTCAAGTACTTTATCGAGTGCTGGTATGTAACCCTCTTGCACAGAAATGAATCCCTGCTAACCTTAACAGTCTTGAGAAGGACTGTCCTCGCAGAGCCACCCCCTGGCGAATGCTCGAACATCCGTGGATGGTCGAAATGAAATCGAAAAAGGTCAACATGGCACACTTCCTCAAAAAGGTGTGGGACTGGCAGGATTAAACGCGCTACGAACGGGTTGCCGACTTCGACGCGACTCGCTGCAAACTTGCTGTTGACCGTGACGTGGCACGGTGTTGTGGAACCTACACTTTCTCACTAGCCTCGAGCGGCTCAGATTGTACCTTCTATTCATACACTTGGTCACATGCCGGCCATCGGACCAAGATTGCCTTCACCGAGAACAGCCGTACGCGGAAACAAAACTTTGGACTTGTAGCAGGGACTGCAACTTTGTCGATAGCCTTGAGAGTTGCTTGATTGGACGAGGATTATGCCTAGTTAGGTAAAGACACCTGGTGGACATCAGAGGCATTAATGGCGTTTGAAAGGCGCATGTCGTATACAGCGGCCAATGCAGAAACAAGATCTAGGTACGACTGAATGTCAAAGATTGCATATATGAAGACTCTATCCACAATTTTGAGCACTCCGTGATGGTGAAGATAGGATGAGAGATTAGGTAGTTTGCTAGCCACTACAAGGCCGGAAAGCTTTTGTTCTTTCAGTTCAAGAAAAGCGATGCTTCATCTTGCATGAACTGTTTCTTAACTTCTACCTACCCATCTGCAGGGCGACGCGCATCCAAAACGGCCTAGCGCCAAGGTCCGGTCCGACGCAGCTCCCGGCGCCGATTGCTGCGCTCGAGGCTTGGAGTCATACCAAATTATTTACGCAGCCGCACCTCTCACTCAGCCGGTCCATTGAGCGACTAAAAGACGACAGTAGCTTCCTGTATCGCTGCCATCATCGTATACGAGTACTGCGACATTCTCCACACCCCGCCAGTCGCTCCTTCCTCCCAACTTACCCCTCCAAGTACCCCCACCATCGCACACGAGAACCACGCGAAACCCTCCAAGAGAGCAGACAACCCGCCAAAATGCCTACCATCGGTGTGGATAAGGCGGCCCTCTTCAAGGAGCTGGGCCGGGAATATACCTACCAGGAATTCGACGACCTATGCTTCGAATTCGGTATCGAGTTGGACGAGGACACAAGCCTGAGCACCAAGCCAGAAGACCAGGCGCAACCACCACAACTCAAGATTGAGATTCCGGCAAATCGCTATGACATGCTATGTTTCGAGGGTATTGCCATGAACCTAAAGGTCTTCCTTGAGAAGCAGAAGCTGCCCAAGTGGACTGTTACCGCGCCTAAGGGAGGAGAGCTGCAGGTGCTCGACATCAAGCCTGAGGTATGCCGAATGTCTGGAAAGCGGTAACGAAGTTGTGCTGACTAGTCGCTCTACAGACCAAGCAAATACGAGAGCTCTGCTCAGGTGTCATACTACGGGGTATCAAATTCACACAAGAACGATACGACTCCTTCATCGCGTTACAAGACAAATTACACTCCAACCTGGCGCGTCAACGGACACTTGTATCTATTGGAACACACGACTTGGATACAATTCAGGGCCCCTTCTCATACGAAGCACTACCGCCAGAGCAGATCAAGTTCGTGCCCTTGAAGCAGGACAAGGAAATGAATGCGAAGGAGCTCATGGAGTTCTACGAGGTCAGTAAACAGGAGATGACCATGTGTAGCACCATTCTGATCCTGAGTAGAAAGACAAGCACCTGGGACGCTTCCTGCACATCATTCGCGACTCGCCTGTATACCCCGTAATCTACGATGCGAACCGTACCGTTCTCTCCCTTCCGCCCATCATCAACAGCAATCACAGCAAGGTTACACTGGACACAAAGAACGTATTCATCGAGATCACTGCGACCGACAAGACAAAGGTCGAAATCGTCAACCACATGATGGTCACTATGTTTGCTGGGTACGCGGAGTCGATCGAGCCTATCAAGATCAACTCGCCCCACAATGGAGAGTCAAGAGAGTCGCCAGATCTGTCACCGCGACAAATGCAGGTTGAGGTGGACTACCTGAACCAGGTCACTGGCCTCACCTTGTCACCCGATGAGATCTCGAAACTCTTGTCGCGTATGGGCCACGACGTCTCACCGTCTCAATCCGACAAGAACATCCTTGACGTTTCGGTACCTGTCACAAGAGCGGACATCCTGCATCAAGCGGACATCATGGAAGATTACGCCATCGCATACGGCTTCAACAAGCTGCCGCGAGTATACCCGAACAAGACTGCTGCTGTCTCCGCGCCATTACCCATCAACAAGCTCGGTGATATTGTCCGGATAGAGTCTGCGTCATCGGGATGGACCGAAGTTATGCCTCTCATTCTCTGCTCGCACGAGGAGAACTTCGAGTGGCTGAACCGGAAAGACGACGGAAAGACAGCGGTGAAGCTTGCGAACCCCAAGACGGCGGAATACCAACTCGTCCGAACATCGCTACTACCGGGTCTACTCAAGACTATCAACTCCAACAAGCATCATTCAGTACCGATGAAGATCTTCGAGGTCAGCGACATTGGTCTAGTCGATTTGGAGCAGGAGAGGAAGAGCAGGAACGAGCGCCACTTCGCAGCCGCGTTCATGGGCAAGACAAGTGGTTTCGAGCAAGTACACGGTCTGCTGGACAGGCTGATGCTCATGCTCCGGTCGGCATTCCTTACGCGCGAAGACGGACTAAAAAACGAGCAATTGCAGGGCTACTGGATAGAAGAGGTTGATGGTAAGTAGATGAGTTGCGCATCAGAAATGGCGCAAATATACTGACCGGTCACAGACCCGACCTTCCTTCCTGGCCACTCAGCGGCTATCAAGCTCAACCTCGGCGGCAAGAACCACACCATCGGTGTCTTTGGTATCCTGCACCCGAGCGTGCTCCAGAAGTTCGAGTTACCGTAAGTCGATTTCAGCTCGTCTCGTGATGTAACCTAGATGCTGACTATCGTACAGATACCCCGTGAGTACGCTAGAGTTCAACCTGGAGATCTTCTTGTGAGATGTCACGCCAATGTCGCCTTGCCACATAGTCGTCGCCAAAACTGCTTTGGCGCAATAGATACCTACAGCGCATCCACAAATTAAGATGTCACGATCTATTTTCGCCCATACCACGGCACTACTACACTGAAGTCATTAGATGGGGCTACATCCTCAGCTTGACCCGTTCCCTCGTTTTCATGATTCTACTGATAACAGATTCGCTTCGCTCCCATGCTTTCGGCTTGCGTAACGGGATCCACAACCAGCCGATCCCAGGCGTAGCGCAACGCGAATTTCCATCATCACTACTCAACTGAGAGAGGACAGTACGTCGCATTCGATGCCGTTCTAGCCGTGTAGCAAGGTCTCAAGCACCATAGCTCTGGAGAACCATGCATAGCGAGTCTCTCCTCCCAAGCGCAGTTTCCAAGGCGAAGCTTTAGCTTGTGGGGAAGCCCGTAGATCGTCAGTTCACGCGTGCTGACGTCACCCACTTGGCGTGTAATTCTCGACCAGAGCGGATGTGACGGAGGCCTCACCTCCACTAATTCTCGACCACAGCGCGAAGACAATTGAAAAGGGCCGTAACACCCACGCGACGTCTGAATCTCTGTGTGCATCTTCGCATCAAGCTTTACATCGCCTGCTTGACGTGCCGATTACCCGCAACTGCTCACATCGTTCCTGACGCGGCCTCAAGCCTGGATGTCATTGTGCATGCGGCGAACCAAGTTTTCATCAAATTAGTATCCGTCTATGCGGTAGTCAGGGACTTGAGATTGGCTCAGTATGTGTTTCCGCGCCGTTTAGAGCCCAAGAATCCAAGCAGGCGCCTCCGAACCGGAACTTACCAGACGCTAAAAGCCCCAGACTCCGATGGCTAGGCATGTAGACCTTCTAGAAGACTGCTAAACTTACGAGGAGCTTATTTGCACTCCAGCACGCAGCCAGCCATAACCTCAGGAGCACTTCCGACGTGTCTTTGGTATTGACACGGCTGACCTTCCATGCTACCCACAGCTGTGCCGACATAGCCTTCTCGTCATCCACCGGCATCTATCGTTTCGTGGACGTTGATGGTGAAGATGCATCTCGCCACGAGATCTTGGTCCGATGAATATGCTAGCATATGATGACCAAAATCGAGGATGGCATGTGCATGTTCGGTATACCAGTAGTGACGCCAGCCTAACTGTACCTCGTACAGTATATATGTCAAGTCCTTCCCCCTGCATTAACACTGTCATCTCAAACCTTCAAAGCCTTACATACTTCACGAGTGACTTACAACACCCTTTCAATCACTTCCCGATATCTATACTTCACCTTCGATATGGCTCCTCGCGCTGTGCACTTCATCCGCCACGCCGAAGGCTACCACAACGCAGAACACAACGAGAAGATCCCCGACCCAGACCTCACACCCAAAGGAAAACAACAATGCAAAAACCTCTCGGAAACCTTTCCATTCTTTGATCGCATCGACCTAGTCTGCGCAAGCCCCATCCGCCGCACAATTCAAACAGCACTCATCAGCATGGAGCCGTGGCTGCAATCCGGAAAGCGCAACATCCTCGCTCTCCCCTTGGCACAAGAAGCTACATCCGAGCCTGCCAACACACCAAGCGACGTAAAGCGACTTCAGAAGGAATTTGGCGACGTCTGCGACTTCCACAGATGCCTGGACATTTACACCGACTTCAATACCAAGCAGGGCAAATGGGCACCAGACGGCGGTTCATTAAAGGCGCGCGCCTTGGAACTCCGCCGCTTCTTGCGCGACCGCGACGAGCAGGAAATTGTCGTTGTGTCGCACGGCGACTTCCTACATTACGTATCTGGTGACCTAGACGAGAATGATTGCCAGACACATGGAGATTGGCAGAACACGGAGATGAGGAGTTATCGCTTCTATCCGGTTGATCACGAGGACGCGCTGTTGCAGGAGACGGATGAGAGTGTAAAGTTGAGGAATGCGAGCGCGCCTGGGCAGGCGATGGGGTCCGCTAAGGAGGACACGCCGTGAGATGTGATTTGACGGAGCGGCCACGAGATTGTGCAATTTAGCGAGCTTTAACTGGAATGAAAATCATTTTGACAAGATGCGCTTCATCAACAGAATCACTTTGGAATGGCATGAGTGAAAGATGGATGTCGAAGTGCTGATGCTGAGAAAGACGGATGTTCGTTCCATGCGCAACTGCCCCACAGCGCGGAGACGGCGAAACTTGCTACTTCCAGGGCGCTAGTCCCGGGGGCGCCTTCCACGAACGCGTGCCATTGCGGTCTTGCAACATCACCTTTCTACTGCTCCACGTCCTGATAATATAAGATGGAGTCCTTCGCTACGAGGACCGTATCGCACCTTCTACATGTTCCCCAACATAGCCGACATCCTCGACTCCGCACCCATTACGCCCCGCACCTCCGCACCAGGGACTCCTGCATCGGAGACAATGGCTAGCGACACAATCACACATATAGTGCTCTTCAAATACCGCCAGGATATATCATGGACGGATCTAGAGAAGCACTTCAAGTCCTTTATGGCCCTACAACACAAGTCGCTGAATCCTAACACCGGCAAGCCGCTCATACAGTCGCTGAAAGCCGGCAAAAACAGATCGTGGGAACCCTTTTCCAAAGGCATGACACATGGTTTCGTGCTTGAGTTTGCAAATCAGGAAGATCTGGACCATTATCTCACCACCGAGCCGGTTCACAAGGCCTTCTCCAAAGCCGCGAAGCCGCTGATCGAGGATAGCTTAGTCATCGATATCAAAGACGGGGTACTGTTCGGTTCTGCGGCTGAACATCCATCGGTGAAAGGAGATGGGGTCAGAAAAGGCACATGCCATTGCGAGAGTGTAAAATGGACCGCGAAGCTCGAAAATGCCGAGCACGTGCTTTGTCATTGCTCAACATGCCAGAAGCTTGGTGGTGGACCGTACTCGTGCAATCAGATCATACCGAAAGAGGAACTGCAGATCGTCTCCGGCGAGGAAAACATTAGGCAGTATCGTTATAAAGGTGCTAGTGGTATGTACACTTTGTGTCGGTGAAGGAGGAAAGGCTGACTGGGTGCAGGCAAGTTTGTGCGATGCTACTTTTGCAAAGTTTGCACGAGCCATATCTATCATCATCAAGATGTTATGCCGGACAAGATCATCGTGCGCACTTTGCTGCTAGAAGGCGGAGAGAACATGCCGGCCACGGCTGAGATATTTGGCGAAGGAAGGTTAGCCTGGGTGCAAGAGCTTTCGAAGCACATCTAAGCGCGAGTTGTGGAGATGCAAGGAATGCGATGATTTAGAAAGGGATATTAGCGTGGGGGCCAAGGATGCTGCCTCATGTGGCACAGCTACTTCATCATTTTAAACGAACAACACCTCACTACTCGGAATCTACTTGGAATCCCGAGTGCGAAACGCATCTTCACGATGTATCGTTGATCTCGCCACTGGAGGGAGTCAGAGCGACATGTCTCATCTACCCGATCTACCCACAGAGCTTCTCATCGAGATATTGTCTTCTTGCTCTTGCGCCGACATAAAGAGACTATGTGAGACATGCCGCTCGCTATACGATGTCGGCGTATGTGAGCATTCCTCAACTTTCGTATAGCGACTGACGACGAGTAGATGCCAGAGTTGTACCGCAACATTGACTTGAGCTCACATAATGCTCCCATCGACTGCACGCCTATTTACCCCGGGCCTCATCGGGTGCCACCCGACTTTACATACAGAAGGTGGGGACGCCTCGACTTGGACGTATTTGAGAAGCAGCTGCAGTTTATCCGAACTTTACAACACGATCCGGGGCTCGGTAGGCACGCGTATGTGCTATGTTGGACAGTCTTCAATTTATTCGAATGCAATGAGCCGGATTGGGAAGACGGAGAAAAAGAAAGTCTGGAGCACGAAATGAAGCGCTTAAGATATGAATACCCAGGGTCGGAAGATCTGCATATTGACGGACGTGGAAGCTACGGTACGCCGACGCGTTATTTGAGGTGTTGATGCTGACTATGTTAGGCTCTCTTTGGCGCACGTTCCGTAGCCTTGCTCACGTCTCGGAAATTGACCTTTGCTTCATGCAGTAAGTGTTTGGCTGTTTACCGATTGTTGTCTACTGACTCCCAAAGGTCGGGCAACCCTCTACTACTGCCTTTGATATGCTTCCCTAAAGCTACTTCAGCGCGTTTGAGTGGCTAGGTACGACGCGACGTTGTCAATTGCTTCTTCCAGGAGTATGCCCACCAACTCAAAGCACTTGAGTTACACAACCTGTTCCAGTCTGACGAGTTTGATCCGCCTTATCCAATATTTATTGCCGTCCAAGACATGGTAGACTATTTGCAGGAACACGAGGAAGATGAACGCACCGCCCTAGACAACCGGTACATGATGGGGTTGCTAGATTCTTACGTTGGGAATTTTACTGCTCTCACTACTTTGTGTATTGCTACCATCGGCAATTCCTTCACGAATGTTTGGTACAATACAGAAGAGGGCAATCGACGATACTCTGAATGGGCGCGCTTCATGCGATCTGTTCGGCACACCCTACGTGCTCTCTCATTCAAGCAGGGTTACAATCGAAATGAGTACGACACACCAAGAGGAATTCGACCACCGCTCCCTCATTATGTGTATCGGCCAATGGACATCCTATTCCGACAATGGATCTTGCCCGTTCTATTGGAAGCTCCATGGCCTCATGTGAAGCAGATGGAGATCAGAGGCGTTGGAAGGCACGTGGAAAGTATGGTTTCGAAGCAGGAGTTAGTCGAACCAGGTCTTCAGCTTGGTTTGATATCGCAACAGTCACGGCATGGTCATGCGGAAATCAGGAAAAACCTCGCACGTATGGCTTTTCCGTATGAGAAGAGAGAAGAGCTATTAAAGCTACTGCCTGAAGGTGCCAGACTCAACGTCGAAGAAGAGCAGGAAAGAGATTACGAAGAGCTGCACTGAATTGTTGAGAGCATCGAGTACATTCTCGCAGTGGGGT